AGATCTGCAGGACGCGCCCTTTGCAATCACCGTCTCTACGGGATGGCTTAGGTCCATCGGGACCATCCGGTGGGGGAGATATCGGCTGCGATCCGGGGAGCCCAGGATTGCCCGCCATATCGCCGCAACGCCAGCTCTGCCCTCCGATGTGACCAAACTTTTCTAGTTACTTTTTTTAAAGTAATAACTCATAGTGAAACAATTCTGCAGAACCAACTCTGGATCAGGGCCAACCAATAAGTTGAACACAAAAGGGATAGGGTTCAAAGAAAATTGTTTAATAAATGTTTAAATAACATGACAAAGCTAACTTATGAACATTTACATCCATCAAATGCTGTACATTAGAGTTTCTTAATTTTAGTTTGTTTATACAGTGTAAAGGAAGTACTGTACATGTATTAGGAACACAGAAGCAAGTTTCCTTTTAAGGTGCCTTTGATGTTTTTGAAGGATACTTCCTTAATGACATTACTCAGAGCAAGAACTCCTTGACGATGAAATGAGAAGTAATATGAACTAAAGCAGCGACATAATGCACACACACACTTAAATAAATGCTTGAACTATCTTCTGTGTCATCCTTCTATGTTATGTTTCCAAATGATATAAATACATAATACAAAATTCCATAGTTTTATGTTCTTAATGATATATTGTGCTCTTTGAAAACAGAACAGTGCATATTCTCAGAGAAAATATTAAAATATTTTCATATAAAGGTTTGAAGTGTTGAAGAATACAGATATATAAGTTAACATACAAACAAATGAAATAAAAATACATGTTGAATAAATAATTCAATAATCTTTTGAACTTCATATTGTGTAGTCCCCACCCCCCCCCCCTTATTTTCTTATGGGTACTTCTATTGCTTAACTTTCAGGAATACTATAAGATACAATGTTAGGATCCCCCACCCCCTGCCACTAATGCTGACTGCAGTGCTATAATATCTAAGATACCTATTTCTCCCACTCACAAAAAGACTGGATGAATGGATACAGAATGCCCTACTTTCAAGAAAGAAGCATATTTCCAGCCCATTACATCTAAAAAAGATGAAAAAATGAGCTAGAATGCACCTTAAAAATGTCTCTATCAGTGTTTCTCAGCTTTGCATGCTGGCTGGGGAATTCTGGGAGTTGAAGTCCACATATCTTAAAGTTGCCAAGGTTGAGAAACACTGGTCTATACTGTATGTAGGTTTCTTATTTGAAAGTAGCAAATTTGCTGAAATTCTTGTGTTATAACCTTAACCTTCCTTCTAATAAATACTATTAATCAGAATTTCTAGGTTCTTGTTCTTTGGATCAACTGTTTCCAGTCTAGATTATAAAGCAGGAAATCTGACAGTATATTTGAATGGAGTACACCCAGTTGGGATCACTGGGACATCACAAAAAACATGCATAAAATCAGACTGGTTGTCTAACCACATGCTTAAAGCTCTGTTGACCAAGGTCTCTTTGGCCCTAGAAGGCACTTGGCTTGCAAAAAATACAATATCTATTTGTTCAACATTTCTCGCATTATTCATGTGAGCTAATAAATTGTTCACATTCAGGGTTGTCTGTCATTTCAGGAGACCCAAGAATCCTCTTCCCACTCTTTGGATACACACACCAGCAACTTGCAGGATTTCCATCAAGTGAAGTTTCACACTAAGGGGATTATTAAAAGCACATCAGAAAAAAAGTAAATATAGTTCACAACTTTAGTAGGAACTAGTTTAAATATTACAGAACAATTTTTCTCCAGTTCCTATTCATGTAGAATTTACTGTCATTTTTATATTATATATAGTTTGATCCTTTTCATCTCTATTGTACTTAATTAAAACTGTTCCCAAACTGACATTGAGAATAAGTTGACTTTGTTTGTCTAGTCTCTAAAAAGGATAATTGATTTGCTTTGTTGTTATTTCTTTGCTGAATCAATGTAAGGAAACTTACACAAAAAGTTGGAAATAAGAAAGGCATTTGGTGTAAAGAAGGAAAATGAAGATGGTATGTTGACTTTACAATAGATATTCCACTAAGTAATAAAGATGAGATAATTCATAAAGTCTCATACATAGTTACTCAGAATAAGTACTGAATTTTAAGTAGGCATGTGTGTGTGTGTGGGGGGGGGGATAAAGGATATAATTATCAAGCAAATCTATTTAAAGACTTCTTAGCTGAATAATCATGAGTTTTAATTGTTCATTTAGATATGTATGAAATTGTGCCACATCTTTATATCAACTTAGTATTATCAAACCACAAATCAGATTGCTTTAAAAATATGTAGGGAAACTTTATAGCTCTGTGAACTTTGTTCCTCCTTCTCCATGGAGAACCAATGCCCCTTGTGGGAGCAGCACCCTCTCTTTGAACACCTGATATATACACACTGCATATTGAAGAATGTGTTCGTATGGATCTACAGATATAGGCCTGAACATAATTCACATAACAATTTTCATTAACAGCAACTATGTTTCTAGGACCCTTGGAGACATATTTCTGTAAACACTGAATCTGGGCACATGGCTGACATGCAATATGTCATGATACCCTTCTTACCTTTACCCAGACATTTAACGTAGAGCTTATGGGCAACCTTGTTCTAAAGGGGCTTCTCAATTTCATTCAGATCTCTTCTCTCAAAATATACAACTGAAACTGTTCTCTCAGGACAGAAAATTTGCTCTCAGGTTTTTTCTTACTAAAGTCAGTGGATGCAGCCTATCTAAAGTCTACTTGCTACTTTTCATTATACATGTCTAAGACATTTAGAAGGAAGCAAGATTTTCATTTCTGAGTAAACATGTGTGGGATTGAGAGGTTTAATTTCTATCGTTCTCCAAAGTTTCTGTGCAGTTTTCATTCAATGTATAGGACAATGAACCACATCATCCTTCATTAGCTTGGAAATAATCATTCCCATTCCCCCCAAAATTACCTGCTTACTATGATAAAATCCATTTTTATTACAGTTGGGCAAATAGAATCTGTATAACTGCCCTCCAGTTCTTTGTTGAGCTTTTGCCAATTTATCTAGTGCCCTGTAGAGTTCTTTTTGACATGGTCCCTGAAAGAAAAGTAGATGAAGATCAACACAGTGAAGCATCATCATCATCATCATCAACATCATCATCATCATCATCAAAACATAATGTAAATCATTATGTTCTGGTATTCTAATTAACTGCTTCACTTTTAGTCCTTTGGTGCCATCAAGTGGTTACTCATATCTGCAAACATTCCTTACAGTCATCAATTTTCAGAGGCGTTGTTATATTTGTTCCTAGCAACAAAAGGGCTTCTGGCACCTGCAGATTATGGCATACACTTTTGGGAATAGCATACTGCCTGAGACAGTAATACTTTCTATTACACCCATGATTAAGGATAATGGTTAGAAAACAGAAAGAAGGAAATTAAATGTTGGAGGTATGGAACAGTGATAATTACTTATCATCCATTGTATTAAGCTATCAGGTGCTTTGCTTGTTCATGGCTTAAGGGGCTATGAACTTAGATACTGTAGCAGGGTAGTCTTTTCAAACATAGTAAAACAGCACAAATTATCTGTTAATAGAATGAATTAACAATGGCTGTTAGACAATTGAAATGTTTACAAGTGCACAGTAATAGAATGAGAATTCAGAGGCCTCCCAGGCTAAAGCGCCCGGTGCTGAAAACATCTGCCCCAAAAGACATGCATGAAGGTGTGCTGTGCTTTGGATTTGAAGGCAAAAAGGTACTTTGAAGCACACGCAAGCACAAACACAACCCTTGGCTGCAGTCCTTAAAGCAGCTGGGCCGTTTTCCAGGATCACACATCAGTTAATACCTGATCCCTAGAAAAGATGCATTTGGCTTTAGGAGTTGCAGACAGGGTGTAAATTTTACCTTTTTGCCTTCAAAGCTGAACTGCTATATTATGCATCCAAGAAGCTGATGAAGCAATTGATGTCTTGTGTCACAGCAGACCCCTGTGTCTCTAATGAAAAAGATGGCTCTACCAGCATCTCCAGTTACAAACTTTACCCTTTGAAGGAAATGCCATGCTTTTCAAAACAAATTGAACCCCATTCTTCAGACAATCCCCTAATAAGAAACTCTGCAGTGTCTGGTTTGAATGTCTTTCTTCTTTTTATTCCTTTTTCCTCCAGTTAAGTACCGGATGAACACTTCCAGTACCTTACTTAGATGAGAAAGTGAATAAAGTGTCATCAGCATTCTGATGCTACTTCACTCTAAACCTCCCTTTTGGCAATACTAGTGTGCAAACGTTCCAAGACTGAAATGTTCTGAGCTCAGAACAGCTATTTTAAGTGTTCTGAGTACAGAACAAATTACCCCATATTGCAGAGAGAACAGTAATATAGGTCAGGCTGTAAAACTGATTTGCCCAAGTTAATGCACTGAGCAACCACTGAAGTATGGTACTGTATTCACAGTACATCTGGAAACTAGACATTGTAATCTCCCCCCACCCCAAAACTGGAGGGTTAGGCCAGATTACTTAGACAACATTGGTTGCCTCTAATTTAGGATTAATCAATATTTATTAATGATCTGTGCCACTCCCACAGAATGTGCAGATCTGAGGTTGCTTGAAATTGTTGTGTGAGCAGGGGGTGCTCACCTGTTCCTTCCACTTCTTAAGTTCAGCAACTTTCTTTGCTTTCAGGCTTTCATAGACACTATTAGCATTCCATGGGACAGACTTATCTTGCCCAGCTGGAAACATCACCTCATAGTTGAGCAGGTGATCTGCTGTTATTTCACCGCCTTCAGTGGGCATATCTTCTGGTTCCACAGATTCTAAGAGGAGGAATCAGGACAATAATGTATTGTATGATAGAGTTCAGTTAGAACACATGTTTACTGGAAATGAGTGGAGGTTGTGGAATAGCAAAGTTATGATGGGCCATCAGGACCTATCATCTCTGTGTGTTCACGAATGCCACAGATCTGGGGAAATATAGCAATTACATTCAACAACAACAACAACAATAATTTAAACTTGTATGCCGCCCAATTCTTAATGACTCTGGGTGGCTCACAACAACTAAAGAAATTACAATAAAATCAATAAAATAGATTCCCAACAAAGTGCCTGCAGGCACCAGGATGGATGCAAACATCTCCACTGGTGACTGGCAGTCCCCCTTATTTCCCAGACTTTAATTTTATTGTAATTTTAAGAGATTCTTTTCATTTAAAAAAATAAGCAAATGAGAAACTGGTATGCAGCATAACTTTCCAGCATTTTCAGGAATGCCTTTGACTCCCACTTGGGCCCCACTGATATTCATAGAAAATCAATACAGGAGAGACTGTAGCCCAGTGGCTGATTTGAAAGTGTTCCCATCTACTCAGTAAAAAAAGTGAAAGGTCAGCTGAGGTGAAAACATCCTAGGAAGAAAAAAGAGGTGGTAGGGAATAATCTCAACAGTTTACTTTTGAGCATTTGGCTATTTTGTGATTGGCTATGCCCACCATGTCAGCCATTTTATCACTGGCAAGCCCATCCCGTGGAAGACATTTTATGAACAGGTCACCACCCTCAACTTATGGGAGCCATTTTGTGAGAACCACCATAACATGCTCTAAAAATTCCAGATGTGCCCATATCTAAAAATGTTGGGGATTTCTAGTCTAAATTAATTTGGCTTTCTCTTTTACACTTTCTTAAAAAATATCTAGCCTTATACTTGTGAAATCAGTGCATTGGCAATGCCTAATATTGCCATTCCAGAAGGTGATGACTATACATTCCTGATGTAGCCAGCCAGTCTATGAAATTTGTGGGAATTGTCCAAGAACATCTGGAGGCCACTAGGATGCAGAAGTCTGGCCTACCTAGTGAAGTCTCAGATGCCAGAAGATTTCCTGTATACATTTCCAACAGCTAGAAGTCAAGTGTTTTACACAGATACTATAAAACATTTCCCCTTATGGCTATCTGAAATCAGAATAATCTAGATTAAAATTAATAATACATTCAGCCTAGAGGCTTAAGCAAAAACTAGAGAGTTCCTGAATTCAGATCCTCAATGCCTTTCAACCAGTTCCTCATCCTAATCTACCTCAAAGCATTGTTGGTGAGGATAAAATGAGAGACTTGTTGCAGGGAGAAACATGTATGCTGGCCCAAATCCCTTTGCAGACAGAGGAATTAAACTTGCGCAGTTAAAGATAATGAAAGGTCTGTACAAGGGATGCAGTTGTAAACTTTGTTTTTTGTTTTTTGTTTTGTCACAGTATGTGGGTTATGTTGATGCTGAATTGGGTTTATCTGGAGTTCATGCAGGCTGCTGGTTATAAAACCATTTTCAAAACACTACCATCTGACTATTTAACAGAAGGTTCAGCATTTTCTTCAAAAATGCAAATGATGTATGAGAGATGGCTTCTCAGAATGAGACCTGAAGGAAAGTTCCTAGTATCTGCATAAATAGTGCTCCTTTCCTCATCTCAGTTTGTTGCATGCCCCCCTTCACAAATGTCAACAGTTAAATGCCTTAATGAGGGCTGAGAATATAACAGGCATGCAACAGGTTGATCAGGCAGAACAGAGATGGTGGGACTAAATGTACAGTAGCTTCCTCCTGACTGAATAAAGACTTGGTGACAGTTCTGGGCTTCTACTACTGTATTTAATCTGTAAAGTAAAATGGTTGCAACTTTAATACATTTTCAATCACTCTGTAAAAGACCATAATAAGCAAACAGAAGGAAACAGAAGGGTTCCTGGCTGTAATTTGAGGGGAGGGGAAAAGAGATTTTTACGTGGGAACACTAGTAGAATTGTAGGGGTTAATGGGATCCAATGGGCAACTCTGTCAGATCAGTTGTAAGTTATGCAACTGGTCTCTTCATTTATATCTGAAATGATAATATTTTGGCAAATGTTATAGTTCCACAAGACTCTGTGACCCATGGAAATTAGTAGTGAATCCTATTTCTTTAATTATAAATAAAATCAGAATCAACATTAGACAAGACTGGACAAATTAAAGGAAAGCTGCAAGGACCATAGGTACTCAACAAGGATTCTTGGGAATTTAAAACTATTTTAAGTCAGCAAGAAAGCTGACTTTGCTGCCAAGTACACTTTTTGGATTCTGTCTGAATCTTAAAAGGAAAAGACAGTGATATCCAGGTAGGAAAATGTGCCAATGTCTGATTAAAGGGACTGCCAGCATTTGAAATCTTGGCACAATGATGTTCCCCACAGGTGCAGAGACAGTATATATAGGCTTCTTGTCCATGGGTTTCCTCTAGACCAGAAGAAATACTTTCACTGACTTCTGATCATGTACTGTTAGAGCAATAGAAAAAAATAAGATTCATTCATTTAGGAACAATATATAACTGAGAGGGGGGATCAGTGGGTTGGAGCATTTTACAGAAATGCATTCCATTTCTCTTTATTTCAGCAGTACTAAGATGACCTTTTCTTAAAACAAAAACAAAACATGCATGCACAAACACACCCTTGTTTTCCACCCAAAACTTTCAGAAGTTGTCTCTCTCCGCCTTCAGTTGGGAGAGGGATCACACAGCATCCCCCCTTACTGTTCAAGTTTTTTCCCAGCCATGAAATTCAGCCTCATCCCATTCTCTTTCTTGGTCTTCTCAGACTGGGAAACTTTCCTTTAATTTTAGGAGTAATCTTATTATGACAAAGGCCATTGTTTCACTCCTAAAGTCTCTGACCTAGTCCTTCAGTACCAGATACTGGATGCCAAGCTCTGAACTGTGTTTACATACATGGTGTTTTAGTCTATACTTCTCAGTCTTTGCTTTCTAACCCACCCCATCAACTGATCAGGGAGTTATATTATCTCTCAAGTTCAGCCACAGGCCACACTGAAGAGCCATGATGAAACAATGCTTCACCCCTGGCACTTGGTCAATCTAACCAATGTCATTTTCTCAGCCAGTCATCAGCCTCAGCCAGCATTCTGAATAGGAGTAAAAAGAGGTACAGAAAGATGTGTTTCTTACCTGCAGTTTCTATCCTGTCAGCAGCGGGGAGACAATTACCTTGCCCCCGAGTGAGAGCATAAAGGGGTCGGGTTTGTTCTACCTCTACCTGGCAGCTAAGCCCCCGGCTACACCGTGCCGTGTATATTCCGCAAGGCTCCCCCAGCTGAAGGGCACAGGTATGGCAGCAGGTGCAGCCTGGTTGGCGGGCTGTTTCAGGACAGCTGGCAGGCACTGGTGGGCACAGCCTGAGCTTCTCTTCAGTACAAGGGGCACAATGCACTGAGTGGAGAGCAGCGCCCAAGCTGAGGCCAGGCCCAAGAAATAAGAGCAGCAGCTGACAGCCGAGGCCTGGGGAAGGCATGATGCCTTGGGAGGACTGCAAAGAAGAACCTGCTGGGTTTAGAGATGGAGAGGAACACTCCTCAGTTATTCACATGGAGCTAGTCCTGAGTTACCAAGAGTGGGGCATTTATATACTTTCTTGTGAGTCTGTTAATCTTTAACCCCAAGTTAACTATTATCTGAACAGGAGGGACAGAAAAGCAGAATTCAATTGGTGGTTTGTATCCCTTCCCCTTTATTTAATTACTTCTCCCCTTTTATTAAGTGTTGCAATAATTCATCACTATTCCACTCATTCTTAACCTTTTCAGGACAGTATAAACATGTCTATAGAAGAGGGAGGGCCTTTTCATTCTTCCTTATTTTTTCCTTTTTGCATGGGGAGGGAGGGGGACAAAACTTTTTTATTGGAAAAGAAAAGGGGGAGGGGAAAAGTGGGATTTTCCCCACTTTTCCCCCAAAACCTCAGGAGTTGACTTCATACTTGCATGACAAGGGATGTAACAACCTCTTGTTTAATTTTTATCATGTGGTTGGAGGTTATTAGGACAATGACATACCAAGAGAGGCCCCCAAAGGGTCATCAAAGCTCCTTAGATTCAGTAACTCCTGAACACAGCACGTAGGAGCTTATGTCAATAGTGTGTGCTAGCAAGGATTGTTTGGGATAATTTCCTGGGGATGTACTTGTGCTGGAACAGAGCTCAATATGAGCTCCTGATCCACTGGGGAGGGGGTGGGGAATGGGTTGCATACTTATCTAACCACCAGGAAAGGAAGATCCCAATCACTCATCCCTCCATGACAGACACATTAACATCCTCATATTTCAGAATGAATATACAAAACTTGCATCCTAACACACTTACCTTGTGTGTTAGGTAACTATCATCAAGATAGTAAAGCTACAAAAGAGAAAAGGCAAAGACTGTCTGCAAGGACCCAATGCAGTGTGCAAGTAATAAAACATAAAAAGGGGAGGGGAATGGAAAGTGTTACAGCTGTGGAACAGCAGGCAGCATTAATGATTACAAACATGAAAAAACAGCAATCAATCAAAACCTGGCAGCATGAACTATTGGAAGTATTAACATAGCAGTTGCAGCCTTTTTCATTCAATACTGGGATGTTGTACAAGCTGGAATAGGGAGAAAATAATGGTTGGAGCGCTATCTTGACCCATCACAGAATAGGTTAGAGAAACAAACACTTAGCTCTTCCTTGGAACAGTTATGTGGATTATTGTCAACTGAGAGGGAGAGAAAGTTATTTGTCAAAATCTACCCAGTAAGCTAGCCTATATACACACTTGTTTTCTCTCTCAGCTTCTCTATAAAATATATAAGGCTATTTTCAGGAATAGCAAGCACCAGAACCTAAAATTCCACATGTTCAAGCACATAATATCTATCCTGCAAAGCCAATGATGACTTCTTCCTAGCTAATATTTCCAGAAATATTTTATTATTGAATTATTTTACTGAGTTTATATGCTTGCTACCAAAATAATGTAAACTATAAGACATATTATTAATTTTGCACAAGTCTACTCAAAACTAATCCCCACTGACTTTATTAGGATAGATTTCTAAGTATTTTAGTATTGCAGCCTAAATATTGTTTTATCCAATATCGAGTTTTCTTAACTAGCATCCAACTGGCAAGTTAAAAATTACCTTTTTGCAATAAATGTTTCCTTTCTTAATAACAACATTTAAGAATGGAATGACACCAACAGGATTAGAGTTTTGAAAATACTGGGAACTCAGGAGGATAAACCAACCAAAACAAGAGGATTGGGATGAGTAGGGTCTCCATGTGCATGTTCTAAGGATGTTCATGTGTGTTGGAGCATATCACAATATTGGCAGAAATCAGGACATGCCAGTTTTGAAACATTAGATATATATCTACAGAATTAGGGTTTCAGATGATATACTTCACATGAATTATTTTTTACATTAGCATATTTAACCCCTTTTAATCATTGTTTAGAACTTAAAATGGAAAATATTGTTAAGGGTGGATTTTATTTTCTGTGTGTGGAGTTTTTCTTCGGCTCAAAATGCTTTAGTAGGGCTTGATTTGAATGTATGTTTCATTTTACTCACACTTAAAATAATTGAACCAACACTGAGCAGTCCTTTGTCCCAAAGGATGTATTGACTGTTATTGAAAGCCAAGCCTGAATAGGATTCAAGAAAGCTTGATTTAAAGCTCCACATAGTAATTTTATATAACCCCTCAAGGACCTTTTCAGCCATATCCTCTGAAAAGCAGACGTCATTGTAAACCTCAGACTGAGGGGGGAACAAAATGTTAACTAATGTTAATAGCAGAAACAAGGGCTTGTAAACATTTGTTGTAGTGGCTACAAATCATGTGTTCCTTCCTATGACTCAGAAAATATATGAGAGTAGTTCAGAAGGAACACCAGCAGTTACGGTCAGAACATGTTACACTATGACCTAGTGGCCCAGATGTTCATTATTTTTATTTGTTTAAAGCAATGTCAAGGTTGAAGGGTGGGAATGGGGAAGATATAATACTACCTCAAACAAACATTCATAAACATTTCTCCCTTTCTTCCCCTAAGTGATGCTTTGCATCCTGTGTACTTTGCTTTGAATGAAAGCAAATAGGTGGTTTGTGTTTTCATTAAAGACCTTTACAGTGAGGTTGTACACTTCCAGTAAGAATGCTTGGGGTCTTTGTGTGGAAAAGTGCCAACATTGCCACAGACACTCTGTTTTTCAGCTGTTTACTATGTAGTTGTGTAAAGACATATATAAAGGCCATCTGCTTCGGAATGTTTTGCCTCCTAAGATCAGACTAGCTCCAACCCTGTTGAGTTTTAGGAAAACTGTAAAAACGTTGGTTTTTAAGAGAGTGCATGTCCCAATAAATATTCTGCTTTCCTTCTTTATAATTTCAGTATCTCTTTCTCTCTCTCTCTCTAATCTAATTTCCCTATACTTCCACTGCAGATTGTATAGAACTTCAAGTTTTTTTAGTTGCTCAGCTTTAGCAAACTTTACCAGCTGCTTTGCCTATGAGTTAAGCAGGAAGTATCTAGATTTAGAAGGTGTTTGCTTTGAATTTATGATCTCCTTCAAGGAATGACAAAATACTACAATAGATCTGAAGCCCATCTACAAGTTTATACCTCTATGCTGAAGCTGCCCATGGCCAAGCCAGATGTGCTGATATTGCAAAGATAGCTTTGCTGGTGCACATGCTTGTACTCCTTCAAACATAAGTATTTCATAATAATAAACGCTATTGCAGTGATGTTTTTTGTAATCTCTGTATCATGATGTCAGCCTTATTAGGTAGACCAGACCAGGAAATCAACTTCACTGGAGGGCTAAAGCTCTTTTATTGAGATTGACTACTACAACAGAATCTTGCAAGTCTGGTTGTGCTACTCCTCCTCCTCCTCCTCCTCCTCCTCGTTCAGTTCAGTGAATTATGGAGGCATCTGCCTGATTTGCTACCAAATTTTTTCTTGTAGTTCTGGACTTAAAAATGCTTCAGCCTCTTTTCCCTAGGTAACAGTTCCTGCATATTTCGGTCAAGGCTGTCTTCATTACTCTCTATAACTGCTGAAGTCACAGACATTCCATGGGAGCCTTGTGACCAGTGCGAGCTGCCAGCATGCAGACCACTGAGATCTTAACCTTTCAGAAAGCCATAAAACACTAGCTTTCCCCCCAGGTATTGGTATAGTAAGGTTGGAGCATGGGGATGATATAAATGAACAGAGTCATGGTAGATGATGGATTGGGCATCTGGTTTTCTTGAGTTTTAGTTTTGTTTATTGTTTGTGATTTTATCATTATTGCTAGCTGCCCAGAGGTTTGTACCACAAGATGGGTGGCCATATCAATCAGTCAATCAAATAAATAAATCAAGCAAGCAAGCAAGAGAGAATACAGTGATTTTCTAACAACAAGGTTACCTGTCCTGACTTGGTCATCAGAGGGAGTGATCAGTTATTGATAGTAGCTGTTTGTAGGGCATGAGTTTCACCTCTAAAAACATCACTCCACATTCCTATCTTGGCCTTTTTCATTATACATTAATGAAATGAATTTGTCGAATGTAGAAACTATATGTAATCTAGGTCAATCGCATTGGTATTTATCTAGTCTGTCAGGCAAATATTCCTATAAAGTTTAGAATGGTCTAGGTATAATTTTGATATAGTATTAAACTCAGCCTTTGTGTATAGTATTAAACTTGTGCCTTTGATAAAAGTTGAACATTTACTTTCTCCCTCTAGTACACATTGCTTTTCTGATCCATCCTCCTTCCCCAAATGGTCCATAGCACAAAGTAAATAATAAAACAACAATCAACAAAGCAGCAAACACTAAAACACTAATATCAAAAATAATTAGACAAAAGTTATGCATGAACATGTTTTAATCATCTACAAATGCCCAACGGAATAAAACAATCATTATTGCCATTCTTGTTATTCGAAGGGGACAAGCTTGGCAAGGCTCCAAGAATGGATATAAAAATCTTGCTCCTTGATAACTGTCAATCTTGGGGGAGGACTGTAGTTGAGTGAGAGAGCACATACTTAAAGCATACAGAAGCTCAATCCTCCATGTACAGGTGGCAAAGGCTCCTTTCTGAAATCACAGAAGTCACTGCCCATTAGTGTAGGTAATCAATTGGCCTGTCTCTCTGTAAGGCTGTTTCCTATCTTTCTAATTTGGCATAGAAGGCACTGTCCTGGGCCTATAGTTTGTGAAAGCTACCTGTCAGGTGCTTGTCAGTGTCTCTAGTTTGACAATGTATCAAAAGTTTGGACTTCACTTGGACAAGTTGATCATAATTTGCACAACTTTTGAACAGATACTCAGTGCAGGATTCCACATGATGATTTGATCAAACAAAGAGTTCACCTGAAAAACATCATTCAAATAACCAGACCTGAACAACGTATCAATTTTTACACCAGCACTATCAACTGGACCTGGATGTTTAACTGGTGAGTACATAGGGCTCCTGCTGCTACATGCAGCACATCTTACCCTATGTACTCACCAGTTAAAAATTCATGACAATT